TTTGGAAGTAAATTTGGTGAAAATTTGGTATGCTCTATATTATGTTTCTATTTTTATGTAACAAAACATCAGATACAAAATTCTATCACCTATCTACCTACCGACTTATCTACTCACCCAACTACCTATCTTTCTATCTATTTCCTGGAAAGAAGGTCAAAATGTTAATAATTATTTTTAGATGGGGTAACATAGAAACCTCCCCTTTTTTGCAGTTTTCTGTTTAAAAATATTCTGCAGTGAATATGTATGTCTTTGCTAATTAGAAAGGAAAAGCAGTATTTTTAAGGTTGTATAGACAAAGGGGCATATATAAGACACAGGGGCCAACTTGAAGGGATACCTCGTGGCCAAATATGGGACAATTTGAACATCATAAAGAATAAGGATGTTAAAGATTACTAAAAGGGGAGAGAAAGTTCCTCTTTACAAGACAATGCCACAAAGTAAATGTAGAAGAAATTACATAATGAGAAAAATCAACATTCTGCAGTTCCTGATGTAATACTTGGTTCAGGCGTGGTCAGCAATGAATGTGAAGATCACTGGGCAAAAGGCTGGTGGGCAACAGGCTCCTTACCTGGGGTCTGACAGCTTCACGCCCACTCCCACCACCCCTGTCCTGCCATTACATACATTGCAAGAGAAACCATGTTTCTTTAGGGTGGAGAGATCTGGCTGACACCACCTTTTAGAAGCCACGTGACCAAATTGAACACGACGGTACAAACTGTTATTACGTGCAAAAAGGAGTACACAAATATTACCTCTGTGCTTTCCTTCTAAAAGTGTGTAACCTGGATCTAATCATGAGGAAATCATCAAAATAACATAGAATGTGGGGTGTACTTAAGCCGACTGATCTGGACTCTTCAAAAAGGGAAACCAAAGAAGTCACAAGGACAGTTCTAGATTAAATGACACAAACATAATAACCAAATGCAGTACGTGACCCTATGAAAGATGTTATTGGGACCATCAGGGAAATTTAAAAATTTTAAATTTAAAAATTCAATTGACATTAGCTATTATAAATTAGTGTTCATTTTCTAGATGTGATACTGTTATTGTAGTTATGTAGGAGAATGTTCTTATCCATAGGAGATACTTGACAAAGAATTTAGGAAGAAAGTGTCATGACTGCAACTTAATTTTCAAATGGTTCATCAAAAATTCATATGTGAGAAATAAATGAGGCAAAATGTTAACAACTGGTGACTGTAGGTGAAGGGTAAGCAGTGTTCATTGAATTATTCTTTCAACTCATTTCTAAAGGTTTGAACATCTTCTAAATATGAGGGATTGTGGGGAATAATTCACGTGAAAATAAAAAGGAGAGAGAAAAGTTATGGAATAGGGAGATGTGAGGGATTTGGCATCCAAATACAATGTGTGGATCTTGTTTGGGTCTTGCTTCAAACAAATCAGTCCTAGGGATGCATTTAGGAGACAATCAGGGAAATATGAGGACTGATGGGACATTTGGTGAAATGAAGTATGAAGCAAATGAAATGAGACTGCCTATGATAATTGTTGACCCTGGGTCATGGGTACTGGGGGAATGATTGTATCCTGTCTACTTTTGCATGTTGGAAAATTTACATATGAAAGTTGGGGTCCAACTCAAAATTACATAGTAATATTGGACTTTGTCAGTGAGTGAGTGACTAGTAGACACCTGAATATGTTTCCATGGGTGTTTATGATTAAAGAATTACACAGAAGAGTGATAAGTTGTGAAATCAAGATTAGTACCTGAGTTTCTCTCATAGTTTTCATTTTAAGTGAATTTGAGGGGGGACTTTGAGCTGTGGAATTGAAGGTTCTATGGAAGTAATTGTCTTTCTATTTTTTTCCTTTTCTTTTGTTTTCATTCTCTCAATTTCCCCAATGCATGAGGCTCCTGACCACCATACAGAAAGCTAGAGCTGATGCATTGTCCTGATCACTGCTGAAGCTGATGGAATGGTATTTATTGCTTCCACCTAAGTTTGGGAATCTCAAGATTTGTCTACTTAATCAGTTCTTTGTTTAGCTAGGAGAGTGTTCATTGTCCTGCAGGTTCCAGATGCTACTGTACCTGCCGGTGCTAATTTAACATTCAGGTGAAGATAAAACAAGTTTCTGAAGGAATGACTATTCAGGAAGATCATACAAATCTACAACCCCCCCCCCCCCATCTACACCCTGCCCCCAGTTTAAACACTGCACATTCTTTTGATGATCTTTGCTCATCTGATACCTGGTCACTTTTCTGCGGACATATTCCAGCTTGCCAAATTTCTCTTTAAATTGCGTAGCATTCAGAGTGGAGAAATGCTTCAAATATGATTTGCCACTTTTAATCCTTAGTGTTTTCATTCTTGTTTATCCCTAGAGCTCCTTTCTTGTAACAAGCCCTAAAGCATTAGCTTCCTCCTCTTACCTCTTGTGCGTTTTAGTGTTTATTTTTGCGGGAGAGACAGAGAGAGACAGAGTGCAAGTGGGAGAGGGGCAGAGAGAGGGGGAGACACAGAATCCGAAGCAGGCTCCAGGCTCTGAGCTGTCAGCACAGAGCCCGACGTGGGGCTCGAACTCACAAACCGCGAGATCATGACCTGAGTGGAAGTCGGACACTTAACCGACTGAGCCACCCAGGCGCCCCTTACCCCTTGTGCTTTTAACCCGTTCCCCAAGCGACAGTGTTTTCTCATGTCTCAAGACCCAAGTCAAATATCATCTCCTTCATGCTTCCCTGTCCGATCTTGTTTCCGCCCCTGACTTCTCTTGTACTTCATCTGTAGGTCAGCTGGCCCCTGGGCTAGGCTGTGAATTCCTTGAAAGCAGCTATTTTATTTTATTATCATACCTTAACACTTCACCCAGTACTTGGCATATATTAAATGCTCAATAAATGTTTAATGAGTTGGAGAGTTATCTAATATCCTCTGGGTATTAAAAAACATTATAACTTCTTGTCTACGTTTTTCCACAAGGCTATCAAGAGACCATCAGATTCCTCTTTAAATCAAAATATAACATGGTGTACAATGAATATCCCTGTTTACCAACTCAGCCCATCAGCTACCTATGCTGCCTTTTTTTTTTTTAAGTTTATTTATTTATTTTTGAGAGAGGCTGGAGAGGGGCAGAGAGAGAGAATCCCAAGCAGGCTGCATGCTGTCAGCGCAGATCCCCATGCAGGGCTCGTCATGAACCGTGAGATCAGGACCCGAGTGGAAGTCAAGAGCGGGAAGCTCAACCGACTTAGCCCCACCCAGGAGCCCCTGTGCTGCTTTCTTTTTAAATGTGATCAAGCCTTCTGAAGAATTCTGACAGAAATGTTTATTTACTGTTTCTGGAATGTGTTCACTCATTCTTGAAAATGGAGGCATTTGCTTTATTTTGGTTTTTTCATCTCTTCCATTCACTGCAATACTAATTCACTCGCAGTAATTTCGAGATTACATATGCACTCCAGTGCATTTTATTACTGTGGCATATAAACAGTTTGGGTCGGTAAATTTGATCTCCTGTGTTATAATTGTTGGTAAAATAACAGTACTTTACATTTGTAAAAGTGCTTTACCATTTGCAAAATGTTTTCTCATATCTCATTTGAGCCTTACTAGAAACTCCTGTTTCATAAGTAGTGACCATTATCTGTGGTTTTCAGTCGGGAAAACAGTTTAGAGAGATAGGTGACATGACTGGATATCGTAGAGTCAAGAATTGAACCCAAGCTTTTCAGAACAACCTGGGACCTTATTTATGATCTGGGCTCCGGTGCCTTATGCTCATTCTGTTCTTTCCTGATTAAAGATAACTCTTCTCGTGGAGAAGAAACACACACAGTTACACAGCTCGACTTTTCTCTTTGCATTTCCTGCTCTTGTCATTCTCCAATCTTTTTTCCTCCAACCTTTCTCCTTTTTTATTCTTTTTTTTTCTCTTTCTTTGTTCTGAGTGTATCCATTTTGTCATATGTTCTGTTTGCCTGTTAAATTTGTTTTGGTGCTGCAGGGAAAAAGGGAAGAAACCAGCACTCATTGTGTCAGGTGACGCATCTGCTGTTTCTGCACATTATTAGCTCAGTGTCATAACCTAGCAAGATAGGTGAAATCATCCTTGATTTGTGCAGATGAGGAGAGAGGAGGCTCAGAGATTTACCCAGTTACTACCTACCATAATATGCACCCCCCCCGCCTCCACCACCAAATTGTCTGAATAAGGATTTCAAGTGGAAACATCTCTTCGATTTTGTGCAGAATTTAGTATGCTTTTTTTTTTTTTAAAGGGGACACTCCACGATGGTTTTCCCTTTTTTCTGTGATATTTTCATATTTAGAGAAGTGTGATAGAGATTTAAGAAAGCATGGGGAATGCTGGGTCTACCTCTTTCCTTCTCCTGGTGTGCTGTTTTTCATTTGGTTTAGGTCACTGTGAAATGTAAATGTTACCTTAATAGGGGTGGTGCACACATATGCACACACACACACACACACACACACATACATCACTTTTGTCTATATCATACCTCAGCAAGAACTAGTTTCTCAGATGCGTCCTTACAGAGAACAGAGGCCCAGGGAGAGGGGACCCAGGACAGGGGAGAGCCTTTCGGGGAAGGGAGGGCTGTGGCAGTGGGGCATGGCACGCGAGGGCAGGTCTGTGGGGGGCACTGGTACACCACTGTGCAACGGCGGTGAGGACTAGTGCCCACTGTCATCATGCCTTCTCCTTAACCTCCAGAGTTGTGTCTAGAATCATTTGGTGCAGCAGAAGTCAATGTGGTGGCCACACTTCTGAGTTTTAGGAGTTGTGCTGCACACACAGCCGCCTCTCGGTTTTCTCCCGCCTCCTATGAATAGCAAGCATCTCTCTTCTTGCGTTGAATTTCAACAACACACAACCTGGTGGACTCATAATTATAAACCACTGAATGTTAGAGATGGAAGGTAATAATTTCTAGGATGACTGTGCCTAGTCGTAAAGTAATCTCTTATTTCCCCACTTTCTAGACAATTGCAACACGACTTTCCCAGGGCTCTGATTTTCAGCACGGATGATTTTTTCTTCAGGGAAGACGGTGCCTATGAGTTCAATCCTGACTTCCTGGAGGAAGCACATGAATGGAACCAGAAAAGAGGTGACAAATTCCTTTCCAAATTCCCGGGAAATCCTATTGTGCACATAGAATAAGTTTTATGGAAGGAGTGTAATAAAAGTTCTGCCATTTTTTCCCCCCCAAACAGAATGCCAGAGCATAACCTCCCTAGATTCCAGGAAAAGGAAAGTTATTGATACTGGGTTCTGAAATAGATGGCACTAAAGTTGCGTAATGAGGACATCCTGTAATAAAAATAACAAAATATGGAGTACGCTCGCCCTTCTGATTGTTGCATGTTGCTCACTGTTATATAACATTGTGTTGCAGCCAGAAAAGCAATGAGGAATGGCATATCCCCCATTATTATTGATAATACCAACCTCCACGCCTGGGAAATGAAGCCCTATGCAGTCATGGTAGGAAACAGCATCATTCTGATTTTTCAGTTCCGGAAATTTTGTGAGAAAATTGAACCATTTGTTCTTTCCTCTTTTTCCGATCTGCCATGATCTCATCTTTATTAATAGTAGTTCTCTCAGAGAGCAGGTAAACAGGTTTTATTTTAGTGTTTCTCTGTTGTTCAGTGGCTGAAACTTGCTAAGATGCTAATATCCCCTCAGGGTACATTTGTAAACACTCCTTGGTCCGAATTCTTGAAGGTTTTTCTGTCTTGATTTTCTGTCTTGCTTTCCAAAGAAGAGACATCTATACACAGGGGCACCTTCTGAAGCTTGCAGAGAAATATTGGGGTGGGCAGTGCTGCTAGCCGAGTTGTAGGTTATATTGATCAGACACTGTCTTTGGCAGGCAGGGATTTCAGTACTGTTTAGTGTTGCCACATGAGAGTTCTGGGGTGACCTTTTTTCTTTTTTGGTTTTAAAACATATTTAGGGTTAACACTGTAACCCTATTAAGATACTAGAATACAAATATAAATATGCAAACAAAGATAACTCAGCTCTCTACTGTCAGAATAGAAAAGTGAGAGGAATAAAACTATGTTTGTATTTTAAATTATGATCTGTTTCAGACATATTTCACCTTTTCTGGTCATAAGTTTTCATTCCCTATTGGGCATATAGATAGGAGAAAAGATCCTGAAATACACAGGGCAAGAAGACGACAGATGAGTAGTCTCATTTTGTCATACATAATCCCCACTTGTCTAACGGTAAAGTGAGTATCTCTAAGAAACTGGGCTCGTGGCATCTATTCATGGCTTCTTTTTAATCCGGGGGGCAAAAGAGCTTACACGCAGGTGTGCTTTTCTCTAACTGTACATCCATCTGGTTTATTTAGGCCCAGCCTGTGGGACTTTGGGTGAATGTAGGAAGGAATGAACATCAATTTTGTCGTTACTTCAGTTCATGGACCGAGAGTCCACTTGGCAGAGAAATGAAAGGGGACATGAGTAGTCAATTAAGGCACAACTCAAAACCAAGAGTAGTGGGAGAGTGGCTTAAGGAAAGACATCTTATTTTTTATTATCTGGAATGTGCAATCTTTTTAAGCCACCCACAGCTATTACTAAGATCCTGAATTTAGGTATTTTCCATCTAGGATATCTGAATCCTTTTCTAATGAGAAGGGTCCATCTCAATCTCAAGAATGAAGAGGAAATCTTTTTACTTAGCTGTTTTCATTCTGTATTTTGTAACACAATAAACGATAGTGACAAGAGTTCAGATTTTGAGATGAGAAAGGAGTAGCCAGTTTATGAATGCAAAGATTATTTGGATGTTTATATGCAAACTGTAAACCCAAGGATCACGGGGTGTGGTGCTTTGGGCCGGACTGTATTGCATAGCAGGGAAAGCCCCTTCTTGGCGGGAAGAGTTTGTAAAGAGTGTTGGGAAATCATTTTTATTTCATAAGCTCTGTTCCTAGGGCACCCTCACTTTCTAACTGAGGCATGAGGAATGGGACAAGGCATTTGGCAGAAGAAAACTCGGTGATAATCCTAGAAGGGACTTTGAGAAGCCACTGAATTCATTTCTCATACATGTGGGCAGGATATTTAAAACTTAGTTCAGCTATCTATTTTTAAAAACGTCCCCAAACAAAGAACCTTTATCATTTTCCTACATAGTAGATAAAATTGACCAAAACTTATCATTGGGAACCATAATATAATCTGAGAGTGGCTAAGTATGGAAATGAACCAACGGTACTTGTAAGATAAACTAAGGCCTTGGATTACTGGTAAAACAAAAGGAATCTTAGAAAAGATTTGTAGTAAATGTTAAATGGCAGCATAAACATTCCCAAACATACATACCATGTCTTCAATGTTTTATGTACTTTTGAAAAATCAGGCACTTGAAAATAACTATGAAGTTATATTCCGAGAACCTGACACTCGCTGGAAATTCAACGTTCAAGAGTTAGCAAGGTACTTCTTTGTTTTTCTAGTTCCTCATTATGTATCCTGCTGTTTTCAGGTATTTCAGACCGAACAAAAGAATCTTTTCAGGCTGGAAATGGACATGGTAGTTTTCAGGCCAGAAATGGTAATTCTTGGAAATTGATCACTTTGGATTTATTAATGTGAAGACTTTAGTTTTGGGTCAGTTTTCTAATATACTGCTAAACGCTACACTTTGGCTTGGACTAGGTCCTTTTAAAGGACACATTTAACTTTCTGCTAAAATGCTTCTTCATTAATGAACGTTTGAAAGCACTTTTCTCTGCATGGGATTGCACATGTCAGTGGCGTTTTTGCATTGAGGCTCAATAAAGATCTTTAAACGTTCAACAGTCTGTGGTTCACTTAGGGTCTAGATGCTGCTTCTAATTTATAAAGCAATAAATGTCCAAATAATACTAACTTGTTGATTGAGTGCATGGGTTCTGATATTTACTATCTGTGTTATTTGATGATGTCAATGATTTAAAGAAACCAGTGAGATCAGAATTTACTTTTTAGGAATAAGACTGATTTATCCTATAGTTACAAGGAGATAGTGCTTCCAAAATCGGTCTGTGGCCCACGCCCATCACAGTTGCCTGAGGTGATTGTTCAAATCCTAGTTCATGGGCCCCATGCCACAGTGGGAATCTCTGGTAATTGCATTTCGAACTATATCCCCAGTTGATTCTGAGGCCCGCTTGAATTTAAGATTATTTTAATTAGCATCTAGAAGTGTCTCAGACTGACATAAATGGATTATAGATACATGCATGATTAATAGGCAAAAATATAATAAGTAGATCTCATGGTGTTCTTTTTTTATACCTTGAAGCATGAAACTGAGAGTTCCAAAAACGAAGCGTTTCCGAAACTCTAGTTGTTTAGCCTTAGAGCAGCACAAAAAAACAGGAGTGGAGCCTGAAAGATAACTCCTTAAAGAGATGTTATGCTTTAGTGAGAGTTAAATCCTGAGACTAGGGAGTGCATATCTATGTAATGATGCAGGACTTGTAACTCCTTTTGAATATACTGCCTTAAGCACATGTTTGCATTTTTTCCCATGTAGAAGGAACATTCATGGAGTCCCAAGAGAAAAAATACACCGGATGAAGGAACGGTATGAACACGATGTTACCTTTCACAGTGTGCTTCATGCGGAAAAGCCAAGCAGAATGAACAGAAACCAGGACAGGAATAACCCATCACCTTCCGACGGCGCAGGATACTGGAATCCCTGCGCGGAGTTTCCCACCCGGAGGGCTCATGGGGGCTTCACAAACGAGAGCTCCTTTAACAGAAGAGGCGGCTGTCACCATGGATATTAGAGGCCTATCATACAGGCATTCACAATTTTCCTAAATCAGTTTTTACCGCAACTTTTGGTATTTATTCTTTGTTCAGTTTTAGCCAGAGCTCTAATTCCCGTGTAAATAGTCGGACCTGAAAGTTTTTCAGCAGAAGTCATTATATTCATTTTCAACAAGCACTTGTTAAAAGTGATCCTCTATGCATGGTCTGATGCTGGAATTCTGATTTGATTAAACAAAGTCACTTTCTTTAGGGAACCAATTGGAAACGGAACCCTGAAAACGTACCCAGTCACATAAGTTCAATATACAGAAGCTTCAGTACCACTTCCTCTCAAGTAATCTATTTTTCCAGAAAACCCATCTCCATCAGGAAGGTTGGAAAGGTGGGGGAGAAGTGGGAGACAGGAAAATGTTAGTGCCATTGCTACTTTGATAAGCCGTGTATCCAAAAAATGTGAGATGTGTGGCTGTCACGATGAGAGTGGTTTTCCTCTAAAATGCATATGCCAGAGAGCATACATCTAAGGGAATATCGTCCTTCAAAGTAGACTCTTTGGGAAATTATCCCTTTATTCTCGTGATGTGTCATTGTTAAAAAGTCTTTTGGATCCTTCTTGATAGCTCTAAAAGCTACTGAGGAAAATCAGTGTCATTATTTAAAGTCACATCTTGTGTTTTAACTACCACTGTATCGAATAGGATTAAACATGATGAACTTTTTGGCTGTTGTGCCAATAGTGGAAATTAAAGAAGCCTGACTTTATAAAACACCAGTTTTTAAGAGGAAAAAATTAAGCAGTTTTTAGACATGTGCATAATCAGTTGGCTGCCCAAATGTTTGGGAGCACAAGAATTAAGCATCCCAAGATAGAAATCATATAGGGATACGTAAAAGTCATGCTCATTGCAAGATGAGCAGTCTTGGCGATTTATGTGGCATTAAGACAATAAAGTTCTACCACAACTCTGGGATGTCCCTCTTAAACCAATCCTGAATTTATGATTCCAAATCAAGTCTCCACAGGTTAGAATCAGATTAATTTGGTGTGAGACCATGATAGATAAGATCACGTAGGATGTATGCTTTATTTCTTGTTGGCCAACAGCTTCTTTATAATGTTCTGTGAAATATTATTTGAAGTGTCCTATATAATGGTGCTTTTATGGTTATTAAAAATTATCTATGGTATTGCTTTATATGAATTTGTCATTGAATCTAGACTGCTTTAATGATATAAAAAAATTAATTGCCTAAATTCCACAGAATTCTACCCTATTAAGAACCAGTTTTTCTATATCATAAACTTATTTACCAGTCTTCTTTAGTAAATAGGAGACATAAAGACAAAAGCAACCTTGCATTTTACATGCTTATATAAATTATTTGATCTGCATACATTGGAAAGACTATTACTTTAGCATTTTAATACCTGACACTATTGACATCTTATGGCTTTTTATTCACCTTGTCTGAGTAACCACTCTGATATGGCCCCAGGTTTAGATCCAGAGATTTTAAAGAGCTCAGGAGAGTAATTTCCCTATTTGTCTCTTTTTTCCCCTGGATGACTCCTGAAATACTTGGTTTGGAAACATAAACATAATTGATTAAATGCTGCCAACTTTGTCCCAGCTAGAAGTGATTTATTTTTTCTCTCAGTTCCCAAGGTTCCTGATTTATGTAATTTTTTGAACACTCAACTTTAACCTGTAGTTTTGTATTATTAACGTTTGTATCGTTCACAGAGCCGGCATAGTGCTTTACGTACAAGATAGGGCCTCGTTAAGTAATTGTTGAGTAACACAAACTGCTTTTACCATTATCCCTAATCCTATGGTGTACATTGACTTTGTAATCATTGTCACTTCTTAGGGGATAATATCCGCATATACTTAAGCTTCATATTTTGCTTATAGAGCTTCCTATATTTTTTACAATGTGTAAAAAAGGAGTGTGTGCATGAGATCTCTCTATAATGTGTGGTCTAAATGGTAAGAATAGAGGACATAGTAGCAGTTCAGGTTAGATTCTTCTAATTCTTTTTTGTTCACCTGAGACTCCAGTTTTATTCCCTGTTCTAGAGTGGATCACTTGGAAAATGATTAGGATGGGAAGACCAAATTGTTTTACGAACAAAATTTAAATCATGTATTAACAAGACTGGCAGAACACTTGAGTTAAAAAGAATTGCAGAATGGATTATTGTTACGTTAATTTTTAGAGGAGCGAAAAATCATGGATCACGGTTATGAAAGAAAAAATTGCTTTTTGAAAGATTTATTCTTGGCTTTGAAATGCGTTTCTAATTAGATTTGAAAACAGGATATTTTATACAAACTTAAGGCATAGTAAAAGACCTGATTTCAGAGCTTTTCCATGCTATCGACTCCTGGTTGGAAGTGCATTCTCTTTTCTCCATTAAGCATAAGAAAGTCACAAACGAGAATATCCTCTTATATTGAACTATTACTGTCTGCCTTGGTGGTTAGAGAAAACCAGGTTTAAAAGAAGTACTGCTGAGTCCTGTGACAGGGCTAAAAATAAAGTGGGTAGAATCTGCCAATTTGAAAGAGCAGTTTTCTCTGAAGTTGCAGATGATCACTTTGTTACAAAAACATTAACACTACGAAATCTGATTTAAAGTACTTGAATTTTTAATTAAAATAATTTCAGAGATCACAGTGGAATCATAAAAAGGAATTACATTGGGGATTCTGTTTTTCTTGTAGTTATGCCGACTTAGTGTTGAAGAACGGGTCTTAGAAAACACCACTGTTGCATCTTTCTCTTCCTGACGTTTAATCAGGATAGAACTATAAGAGAATCAACACGTTTGTTAGGGAAAACTGGGTCACAGTGGGCTATCTCCGAGAAACAAAACTAAACCAAACCATCTAAAATAGGAACTCAAAAGAATTACAGGAGTCAAAATAACTGTACTTACGAACCTAGTTTCATTTAATTAAGGACACAATTTAAAGAAAAAGTTACTTTGTAAAATAATACTTGGTCAAGTCCAGTGATCAAATTCAGTCATAAAGATTTAAGGGAGATTTAAGGGACTAATATCCAGTCAATTTTAAGATCGGTAACAAATCAAAGCACAGAGGCAGGCAAAGAGCATTCCTGTGATAGACAGGCACCCAGGGAAATTAGAAACTATTTTTCTCATGCGAACACTGATGTGCAGTTTGAAGCTGTATTTTTTACAAACCGGAGAGGCTGAGTCAGTAACTGACTTATCGTCACGTCTGCTGTTGTCGCCTTTGCAGTCTCATAGATGACCTTTTTACTGTATCTGTGTCCTGCACGTCAGGCTCCCCTCCTTGGGTGCTGGCCTGGGGGTTCTCGCAGTCTCGGATCCCAGAGGCAGTAGGGTACCTTTTCGGCCTGACATAATCTTTTGAGCTCGTGGGAGCAGTCCTAGGGGAGTCACCGAGAGACAGAAGTTGATCTTCTCCTGCCGAACCAGACAAAAGGGCTTGAGTGTTGATCAATGCAAGTTCTTCGTCAGCTATTGAATCACTTTCCACAAGGGAAGTGTCATTAAATTTCAGTGGAGTCATTTGAGGGGAATTCAACTCTCTTTTCTTTATAGGTGTTTCATATTTGGTGCCACAACTCCGTGGTGGCTGAAATGCCTTCTGTGCAGCTGGAGAAACAAATGTACAAATGGGACTAACAGGTGGAGGTAAAGGCAGTCTACTCAAAAAATCTAAGGCTTTTCTCTTCTTGCAGGTTTTCGGGTCATCCAGCTCTCTCTCCCCTTTATAACAAGACTTTGAAGTCATTTGGGCTGATCCAGGTGTGGGCACAGACTTTGCTTTCGGCTTACAAAGTGATAAAGGACTCCGGTAATTCATCTCACTATTGGGAGAAGACATCTGATAAAAAGACAAAATGCAGCCTAGATAATGATGCACTAATATATAAAACATCATCAAATCAGCTTTTCGTTAGAAATATTTAAGCACACAAATACCACATACATTCTCACGCCCATCGTGACTCACAGGTCAGATGATTTCAAGAGACATTTACATTATTGTTCTCATTCCAGAAGGAAACAGTTTTGCATAAAAGGATACAAAAATGACACAAAAAGAAAGCAGAATGAAGACTAATTGTAATAAAAAGGGAGGCAGGGGGATTTAACTGACTCTTGAATCTTTTCTTTTTTCATTAACAGCTTAAACAAAGATAAGCATTTTTAAACCATTTTAAGAGCACAGACTGCCTGGGTTCTAATACTTAACTTTTCTAGTTTTGTGACTTTAGGCAACTGTTCAACCTCTCTAGACCATAGTTTCCTCATTTGCAAAACAGATAATTTTCATCCCATGGGTTGTGGTAAAGATTAAATGAGTTAATACAGATACACTAAGCAACTGTTAGCTACTTGAGATTTAGTCATCAGTCAGTATTACAGACCTTACAGCTTAATTTGCGTGTACGGTGATTTAAAGAGTTAAGCTGAGCTTAGAAACACCCCTAACTGTATAGAATAGTCCTTCTAGCAAAAGGACAGAGGCAAAACAGAGGCAAAACACTATTTTCTATCACATGCACTTGCAATGCTAAACATGAAAGCACCTTTTGGTCAAATGTAACCCTGAAGAAGGTTCCATTCTGGCTTTGATAAACAAGATATAATTTCCAGATAACCTATACTTACAGGGGCCACTTAACAATAAACTACACTTTCTAGTCAAGTTTAATTCCAGTTCACCAAGTTTACCACATGCACACCAGAATATAGTATTGACTGCATACATAATACTCATAAAATTCCTTCAATTAACTTACCGAAAGTTTATTTCCTAGGCCAAGGACTGTTTGAATGGTGTGTGGCTCTGAAGCATAGTCTTTCGTCGGGGTGGACATCTTGGGACTGTTTGCATTAAGTATGTGCACAAGTTTGTTTTCTGCATCGTTGCAAAACGTATCAATATTCTAAGAAAATAAATTGGAAAAGCTGTTTTGTAAAATGAAAATACACATTTTCATGTTTTCAGAAAATGTTACCTTTAAAATTAGAAATAAAAGATTCAGACCAGAAAAAAAGAATGACACACCCAAAATTTGAGAGCAACTGTCAAACAACATACCAGTGTAAAAATGCAAAGCCAACATGTTGGAGGGAGGGAGGGAGTGTGTGTACGTCAGGGAAGGAAAGAGACGGGAGAGATCTTGCCAAACAGCCAGTTTAATTACAAGGTATTACACGGTACTGGATTAGGAGCTGGAAGACGGGGGCTCAAGTTCCAGCTCTATTTCCTACCTAATAGCTGTAAATCACCTAACATCTATAGAGTATGCCCTGGGTTAGTAGTAAAATGAGACAACTGCCTCACGTCTGTTCTAAGAACGGAAACAATGTATAGGTTAAGCCACATAAAACTGTTGTTTCAGAAGTTACAACTGGTCGAATACCAGCAATTTTATATAATTTAACCTAATTCATGAGAGTATTTTGTAAAAGTTAAAAATGCTATGTAAATAACAGTTGTCTCTGAACAATCCTTGAATAAAACCTGGGAGAAATCCTGGGATGTTTTTCATCTGTATGGAGGCCAAATCGTGAATATAATTCCCACTCCACCCCCAATTTAGATCAATTTAGATCAATTTAGATCAATTAGGGTGTTATTCTTCACTATAATATATATTGAGTCTTTAGGTAAAATATTACACAAACTTCCTTTATACAGCTGGCTACTCTGATGCTTTTAAAATATAATTTTATTTATATATACTTTGAACAACACACATTTCAGATATCAAACTAACAGCCTTATCTTGAAGATTCTTTACTAGTTAGCAATTTATCAAATCCAAAATTTTATTGGGAGGCAGCATTGCACAGTGGTTAATAGGTGGGGCTATGCAGGGGCACTTGGGTGGCGCAGTCAGTTAAGCATCTGACTTCAGTTCAGGTCATATCTTGTGAGTTTGTGAGTTTGAGCCCCGTCTCGGGCTCCGTGCTGATAGCTCAGAGCCTAGAGCCTGCTAAGGATTCTGTGTCTCCCTCTCGCTCCTCCCCTCCCTCCCTCCATCTCTCTCTCTCAAAAAAAAAAAAAAAAAAAAAAAAGTTGGGGCTGTGCACTCAGAGAGCTTATTCATCAATAAAATGGAAAAATAGTTCCCTACCTCATAGGTTTGGTGGAAGAATTGAATGCGACAGGCTATGAACAAGGCCTGACATACAGCAAGCACTCTAAAACTGTAGCTAATAATTACTACTTGCTATATGTATAAATTTAAGCATAAAATGTGTACATTACCCAGGGAAAATAATTTCAGTATTCTCCTATTTGAGATTATTTCAAATCAAGGACAGACATAAACTATAAAATACTAGATAGGGAGTTTAAGACGTGAATTTGGAATCTGCCGGTTATTAACTAATGATACTGCTATGAACCATGGGTAACTCATTCTTGTTGCCCACATGACCTGTAGCTCTGAACATCCTCCTCAGGATTTCTCCTCACTCAATCCCCTTCAAGTCACTTTCTCCCAGCTGTTGTCCCCCCATCTCCTCAGGCTCCTGAGCAGTTCATCTTTGAGGAACCCTCATCTCACATTATTTCCTGACTATCCAATTTTCATAGAAGCCGCCATTTCCTTGATATTTGACCATCAACATAAGAAAATACCAAAATGCGTGGTAATGCCCAAAGTAATTTTACCTCAATAGTATTTTTCATTTTGTGGAATGTCTCTTGAAAATGGCCCTCCTTTGGACTGGCAGAAAACCTGGAAAAATCTCCAGCAAATAAAGTAGGAATTCCTGATTTAGATTCTGGTCGCCACTGGAGGTTGCTAGCAGCAATTAATGTATGAGGTTTAACGATGTCTTCATTAAGATCGGTCCAGACCTTGATTGCCAATAAATTATGGCATTCATCTGACAAATAGACCAAAGGAGCAAAACCTAAGATGAAACAAAACAAAACAAAAAATTCCACTTCATTACATATGTGAGATAAATTTTAAAAAATTCAAGGAAGTTCTAAT